AATATAGTCACGGCACTGCAGAAAGGAGAATGTTACCAATTATATTATGTTGGGCTTGTACGGTACACAAAATGCAGGGTAGTACCGTCGACCATGCCGTTGTAAACTTGGGCTCGAAGCTCTTTGCCGCTGGTCAAGCATATGTGGCCTTAGTAGGGTGAAATCATTAGAAGGGCTCCTCATTGAAGAGCTTTACTGTTCAAAATTAACTGGCAAACGCCTTGAAATAATGATACGTTGAATGAGATGAACAGACTTAGTAACATATCAGGTCAAAACTAAAAAGTATAAAATAAAATTAAGGTAAAAAAACCTTTTTAAAAACAAGCTTTTATATATATATAATAATAAAAAAGAAAAAAATAAACTTGTAAACTTTTACTGTTAACTTATAACAAAAAATTGCAAATTTAACACATTTGGCACAATTTATATGTTATAAAAGCTTGTCGCGAGATTTAAGTACTCGTATTTACTTTCTGAGTTTTGAAATTTTAATAGGCAACAAGTGAATACGAGTACCTCAATCTTTCGACAAGCTCTTATAATATCGTCGTTGCGACTTTAAGACCTCTCATGTGTAAAATTATTCATTGCGAGATATTCAATAAAAACTGTCTACTGAAAAAAATATAAGGAAACTAAATATAACAAAAAATACAAGTGGTAAATAGAGGGCTTTATGATTTTTATTTTGCTCTTGTCATTTTAAATAATAAACGAAATTGTAGTAAAAGAATAAAAAAAAAATTCAATGTGACACATAAGAGGTTTTGGTTGCGCGTTTTGTATCACATTAGAGAATATAAGTATGTAAAAGGGATTGAGGATTCACACACATGACATTTAATTATACAAGTTATTTGTTTTTAAAATTGATCTTTGCCTTGACAATAGTAGTAGTAATAGTGGTTTTATGTATTGCTCAATAGTGGACTGAACACTGTCCACCGCCATCATGGTGTGCCCTTTTTTATGTTTAATAGGAAAGGCGTTGACTAAAATCTCGCCTGATGGAAAGCGATGATGAGGCCTAGGATGGTACACGCTTGCCTAGAAGATGCCTGTTCACTCTGGCCTTGAAGATGTCCAGATTATATTGGTCCGGGAAAACAGACCTCGGTAAGGAGTTCCACTCCCTAGCCGTTCGCATAATGAAAGCGGAAGTAAATCGCTTCGTGGGAATGGGAGGAACTTGGACAACATAAGGGTGAAAGCCCTCGCCGCGCCTGGTCGTCCGGTGGTGGAAAGGGGAAGGGGGAATCAAATTCTGTAGTACCTCCGCACACTCTCCGAAATGTAACCGATAAAACACCGAGAGGCAAGCTACACGTTTTCGGTGTCTCTTCGCATGGTATTCCACCGAGTCCAGTGCATCCAGCTGATACCGAGCAGATCCATTCCAAAGGTGACAACAGTACTCCAAGCAGGAGCGAACTTCGGCTCTTTAAAGGTTAAGGAGCTGCTCAGATGTAAAATATCGCCTGACCTTAGAAAGTATTCCAAGTTTATTGGCAGCGGTTTTAGCAATGGACTCGATGTAGCGACCGAAATTGGGGCTGAATGAGATGTCCAGACCTAAGAGCTCGAGATGGTCTGTAACCGCCACATTTCGGAAAGTCGGAGTCAGATGGAATGGACTCCGTTTCGCCGAGAAGAGACAGGCCTGTGTTTTTAGGATTTAGGTGTTTAAATTCTTTACACAAAGTTGACGTCACACAGTAGACATTATCGAACCGAGCGTTTGGCGGTTAATACAAAACCATTAAAATTAATTCAATAATGGAGACAAAAAGACATTAATCATTTTTATTTTTATATTTTTGCTAAATAGTTTGTCCCAATCTTTAAATATAAGCAGTTTCCAATAATTTGGAAAATACCCTATTACACCGTGGCTTGTGTTTAACTGTTAAATGTGTAGACTACTACAATATTCACAAAATAATACGCTCGTTTTGATATTTCTAACTAGTGATGTAACCATACGACTCGGTACACGATACTCACGATAAATCCATTCAAGCTTGTATGAGTATTTGATTATGAAATTGTAACGTGCATTGGATTTAAGTTCTTCTTATAAAATTTAACTTAAACTTTATTATTGTAGGTAATTTGAAAGCATACAACATTTGAAATCATGGTACGAAAGAACAATTTGACTTTACTTAAAATAAAAATGTCACAATAACATTCGGTCAATCATAAAAAAATCAAGAAAGGCGAAAGTGATTGAGTCTTAAATCAATAATTTTCTTCTGATGATGAGCCCAAATCGTCAGATGAGCTTTCGTCGCCTGTATATATAATTATTTCATTTTCTATAATATTATCAAGACGTCTCTGTCACAATCTTCCTTTATATTATTATTATTTTTCGTGTCTTTTCTACCACTTTTGCCCAGTCTTATTTAGTGATTTTGGCTCAAGCTTGTTTCAGCAATGTCATCATTTTCTCAGTGGAGAATGGTGGCTTTATATTATGGCGTGCTGCGTACTCTTTGACCTGAGCCCAGATCAACACATTAGCATTGTACTGACAATGGTACGGCGGCGTTCTCATCACTTTGTGTCCATGCTGAAGTGCCAATTCATCAATTTTATATTTTAATTTCGCAGGTTTATTATCTTTTACCAGTTCCAGCAGTTCAGCTTTCAACAAATTTATGTCAGCTTCAACGCCTTGTCTTTGTAGCCACGCCACTAAATCAGCGTTTTTGCTTGCTTTAGTTGGTGCTTTTTTTATTTGAACTGAGTGGTAAGGTGCATTGTCTATAATGATTATGCAGTGTTCGGGGAGGTTTGTTAGCAAGTTAGAAAACAAATTCAAGTCAATTTTTTCGTGATATTCTTTTGTACGTTTAGACTCAAATGCGAGTAGAGCATCATGCACAAAACCTCCCCCGGCTGATCTGGCGTGGCAGATTAGTTAGTTTCAGTTATTCTGGCAGATTAGTATTAGGCGTTCGTCTTTTTCCCATTGGCACTTTTAACCCGGCGTCAGCACAGTCAAAATATGCATCAACGACAGTAGGGTTGGGTCGAGAGGACCCGTATAAGAAAACGCCATAATTACAAAAGTTAAAATAAATTTGGTTTGTGGTTGTACTATCTGTATAAAACGATTATCGTTATAGGTTTTGAGTAGAAAAAAACACAACATGATACGAAACTATCTTTTTAATGTCATTTTCATAAAAGTGTCACAAAATATTAACAAAATGGACAACCTCTGTCTTAAAGTAATAAAATTTTAACAAAACAATTTTTTTTCTATAACATAAACTAATTTGTTACATGTTAATCAAATCTTTAGTAAACTAATAATATTATACTATTTGTATCAGTCTCATAAGTCAGTCATAGTATCCTTATCATCTGCGCAATCTCGGCAGTACAACATTGCATGGTCACTGCAGATGTATTTGCATATACAGCTCCGAAAAGTATTAGTTTTCTATCTTTTTTGGCAGAACAGTCTTGGCATGTCTTTCTTACATAAAGTATCTTCACAGGTGGCTCCTCATCAGGTACCTACTCCTAAAAACTCTCTTATTCTTTTGCGTATAAGTCTTGGCAACTGAATGACATCTTTACGATTGCGCAAATGCTCACGAACCAGTATAAGGCTTAAGTTTCTTTAGAAATTGGCGTTATGTAATATGTACGCATTTATTTCAGACATATTTGCCAAAAATAACAAAATAAACAATATAAAACAACAATAAAATATTTTTTTAAACGGCGCAAAATTACGACACGAATAGTATGGTTTGGTCATATTTACCTTTTTCGTGTTTGGCCGTGTCTATCACTCGCTGCGGCCGCAACACGACTGATTGGCAAATCCTACGTTGAGGGGGGACCATTAGCTCCAGCTACTGAGAAGTTTGGCAAAGTCGCACAAACATTTTAAGAAACACGCTCATTTGAAAACTGCTCGGGTCAAATAGACCCAACTGTGCGAACGCCGGGTTAAGCAAGATGCCTTGGTATCGTCGGTCCTTGACTGCGGCACGTATGATTCGAGTTCAGCCAAGTCTCATTGTAAAATATGACACTGTCCCAATTTGTGTGTTTTTTTCAAACTTTCATCCTTTACTAATTTTAAATAATATTGCAAGTATTAGCTGATTAAAGAGATTGATTAAAACGTACATGTAAATGTTAACATACGCTTAGCGATCCTATATGCAGTGATCGTATTGACTTTATGATTTTACACCCTAATTTCGAAAAAAAAACCAAATACCGTGGCGAGTTATATAGTGTATAGTGAGACTATAATTTCATAGAATGAGGACATATAGTTCTTAATGATAATAATTATAAAGACAATTAATTTTACTAAACCTTGTAAATATTTTGTCAAATAACGGTATATGTATGTCAAAAAATATATATTTAATGGTTTTCAACGCTAAATAAAAACTTTCCGGAACCATATTCTATACTACGACCATAATGTAATATGATTTGTAAAATTTTAAGTCTACGTCCCCAAATCACTTATTCGACCGATGCATTTTATGACAATCTGCACTTCTATAATGACTATGAAAAACAAGAATTATTTTTTTCGAATAATTTCGACATTGAAACTTCATGGGCGCACAAATGTCAAAACGGTCCTATTATTTTGTGATGACTTTAAGGTCTTTAACTTTGAATTCTTACTTTAGAAAGAGAAAGCAACGTACATTATATAGTTTCATTACTCACTAATACTTTATTTAATGTTCAGGGACTTGCGCCTCAGTCAGAGATATGGATTAACTTTTAAGTTTGATCAAAGATATTGCTGTTGGCGATGACGTAATAATTAAAATATAAAATAATTTGTGAATTGTAGGAATGGATCTTGTCTCTGAAATAAAAGTATATTATTATTATTAAAACAACATCTGTTTTTAAATAATATTAGATTAACATGTTATCCACGGCACCATTACTTAATTTATGTGTACTAAAATAAATTTCCTTTACTTTTAACACAGGTGAATCGACAGAAGCCGAGAGTAGCGGTTCCGGTTCCCTCAAACTATCGGTGCAATACGCGGGCGGAGTTCTGTCCGTGCTCATATTGCACGCGCAGTCGTTGGCGATCACTCCGCAAGGATTGCCGCCTAACCCTTATGTCAAGGTAAATAGAGTTTAATATCGTTTGTTCATATTGCACGCGCAGTCTTTGGCGATCATTCCGCAACGATTGGCGCCTAACCCTTATGTCAAGGTGAATAGAGTTTAAATATCGTTTGTTCATATTGCACGCGCAGTCGTTGGCGATCATTCCGCAAAGATTGCCGCCTAACCCTTATGTCAAGGTAAATAGAGTTTAATATCGTTTGTTCATATTGCACGCGCAGTCGTTGGCGGTCACTCCGCAAGAATTGCCGCCTAACCCTTATGTCAAGGCGAATAGAGTTTAATATCGTTTGTTCATATTGCATGAGCAGGCGCTGGCCATCACGCCTTGAGGATTACCCCCCAACCCTTAAGGTGAATAGAGTTCAATATCGTGTGTTGTTTCAATAGTGGATCAACAGTTCCCTCAAGTTAGCAGTCGCTGGCGATCACTCTGCAATGATTGCCCCCCAAACCCTTATGTCAAGTTGCATAGAATTCAATATCTTTTGTTGTTTCAATGGTAGATCGATAGTTTCCTCTAGTATTACCACCCAACTCTTATATCATGGTGTATAGAGTTCAATATCGTTTGTTATTTCAATAATGGATTAACAGTCTACTCATGTATTACCGTCCAAACCTTATGTCAAGGTGAATTGAGTTCAATATCGTGTGTTGTTTCATTAGTAGATCGGCAGTTCCTTCAAGTTATCAGTCGCTGGCGATCACACCGCAAGGTTTACCACCAAACCCTTATGCCAAGGTGAATGAAGTACAATATCGTGTGTTGTTTCAATAGTAGATCGACAAATCCCTGGAGTTATTAGTCACTGGCAATCACGCCGCAAGGATTGCCACCCAACTCTTATGTCAAAGTGAATAGAATTCAATATCGTGTGTTGTTTCGATAGTAAATTGACAGCTGTACCCTTAGCATGAACCAATATCGAATTCGAATTGCTTGCGAGTGCGAAATGTCATTGTCAAATTTTGAAACTTGAACAGCAGCGCCACAGCGGAAGTAACGAGAACTAAAAACCAGTACACATTTGACCTATAAATAGATCGTATTTAACTATTCGAATTCGATAATGGTTCGTGCTAAGGGTACTGTTTCCTCAAGTTATCAGTTGCTGACGATCACGCCCCAAGTATTGCCGCACAACCCTTACGTCAAGGTGAAAAGAGCTCAATATCGTGTGTCGTTTCAATAGCGGAGCGCCAGTTCCCTCTAGTTTTACCGCCCAACCCTTATGTCAAGGTGAATAGAGTTTAATATTGTCTGCTTAATGTGAATCGACAGTTCCCTTAAGTTATCTGTGCAGTACTGTCTGTGCTCACATTGCAGGCCCAACCCTTATGTCAAGGTGAATAGAGTTCAATATTGTGTGTTGTTTTAATATTTAATCGACAAAGGCCAAGAGTAGCTGCTCGATTTATTTATTGGTCAGTACATACAAGGTCTGCCGCCTAACTCTTATGTCAAGGTGAATACAGTTCAATGTCGTATGTTATATATTTTTTTATTTTTAGCTGAAACCTTGTTTCAAATGGCAGTATCAAGTGAGGGAAGATGGGATCCACTTGAATTAGAGAGCTTGCTTTATTTATTTATTATAATATAAATCATCCTTCAACAACAAGCCAAAAATTATTAAAAAAATAAGTTTTTTTGCAGTGAGTGTCACATAGTAAAGTGGTTTTCATGATATGTAACTGGATTTTTATCATTTTCTTCTCGCTGCAGGTATACCTAGTACCGGACCCAACCAAAGAGACAAAACGCAAAACACGTGTTTTAAAACGAAACTCGCATCCCTCCTTCATGGAGATGCTGGAATACCGACTACCCATCGAAGTTGTGAAGAACCGCAGTCTACAAGCTACAGTATGGCACTACGATTCCTTACAAGAGAATCAGTTTCTAGGCGGAGTTGTCATACCGCTTAATTCCCTGCCGTTGAGACAAGAAACAGTCGCGTGGTATCCGCTTGAGTATATACCACGGTAGCTAATACTAGCGCGCTCTGCGATGTGGAGCACGGATCTACCGTCAACGTGAGAAAATGAAAAGTGAACTTTAGAAAGATAAAGTGGGCTTTATAAAGTGAAAAGTGACCTTTAGTAAATGAAAAGTGAATATAAAAAATGATTGTGAACTTTAGATAAAGAAAAGTGAATTTTAAGAGTGAAAAGTGACTTTTTATAGGAAAAGTGTGCTTGCTGGTTCAAAAAAGATTCCGAGGTGTATTCGAGTTTTTTACGTATTTGCTCGCTTTTGTGCGACATTGGCACATTTTTTAAAAAATGTGTACAATGTTACATTGAGTTTATACATAAAGGTGATCTATTTTGAAAACTCACAGAGCACGCATAATGCTATAAGAACCACAATTTAGGCATGTTTAAAGATCATAATCAATAGTAGAAGTAGGTAATGAATGAACTTAATCTGCGAGACTGAAATGTGTCAATACATGCTGGCTGTAAGAGATTTATCCATCCGTATTCTGTGCCAAAACCGATGAAAAGTTTTGTAAGATGCCTTGTGATTGATCGATAAGATAACAACCATAGGATGCTGCAGAAAAGATTTGATGCTTTACATGTGTGCTGGGAACACATATCAGCTTATATCAGCATATTTCAACGAGATCTTTAACACATATGGCCTATGTATTTTAAATGAAGTTAATAGACAATATTTGTGATACTTACACCCTTTTGACATGAAACACTCGTCATGTGTTAAGACATACTAATTTGCTATAATGTTATTTGCTTAATGTTCTAATGTTGTGCCAGTATGAGCTTGCTTGAAAGGCTGTTAAATTTATGCGCCCTACATTCCTTAAATTCGATTATTTTTATAATTTTTATACATATTTTGAATAATTTGATTGGATATATCTGGTGCTTGCATGGTCAGTGAATATAATTGAGATGGTCTGCCGCTTTTGGGCGTTAATTGTTTGAGGATGATCCTAATATTACCGGGAAAATCTATTAAGCTAAAATATCTGTATTAACAATTAACTCCTCAAAGTCTGTAGCCGACTACACAAATCATTCAAAATCAATATGAAATAATATTTTATATAAGTTCACTAGCTGACCCAGCGAACTTCGTACCGCCCTAAAAAAATAGGGGTTGTCCAGCGGACAAAATTGTGAATCTAAACCATTCTCAGATCCCCTTGAACACACACAAAAAATTTCATCAAAATCGGTCCAGTCGTTTAAGAGAAGTTCAGTGACATACACACTCACAGAAGAATTATATATATAAAGATATAGTTTTGTCAAAGTTGTGTTATTTAAGATCTGAACATTATTTTTCTTTTATATTAATAGTACATAAACAGTGGTATTTTCTTTCAGACAAATGATAATTTATGAATATCACAACTTAAATATGAATGGATTATTTTTAGATTTCCTATTTATTGGAATCAATAATGAGTCATTTAAAAATGTATTTTTTTTTCGTGTGTGTACATTAATTATGTTTATATTAATTTACCCCTAAAACGTAAAAATAATGAAAAAAAAAATATATACAATATGTTTCAATTTGTTTTAATTATTATATTATAATACCTGCTATATGTTTATAGTCTTGTCAGAAAAATAAACATGGACTAACAGATGTCTCAATAAGTTTTTAATGCATCACTGAGTAAAGCTGTAATGACAATTATTAGTCCCATGTTTGTATTCCGTGATATGGCGAGGTTATTTTTTATCTGATCACCTATGACTTGAAATTAATTTATATTAGTTAAAAGTTACGCGCCAATAATATCGAAATTTGTATTTATCCAGAGGCTTCCATAAATTGCTCTAAATCGAAGAGCAAAATATCAATAAATCAATGTCTTTTTACCCGACTGCCAAAGAGGGAGGGTAATGTTGAGGGAGTGTATGTAAGTATGTATGTATGTCTGTTCCTTTGTGACCTCCTGTAGCCTAAACGGCTTGATGGATTTTGATGTATGAGGTATCGTTAGATTTGTCTTGATTACGGGAGTGTCATAGGATACATTTTATCCTAAAAGTCCCACGGGATAAAGACATAATAATATTTTTTCTAAATTTCCCTTTAAAAAAATATGTATGCGGTATCATTAGATTCATTTTTAGACTGTCTTAAGGTACTTAATAATTCCCGCGATATTAATTCCCTTACTGAAGTAACAAGACTACGGTATATACCGTCTTAAAATACTAACTAACTAAAAAGTGTGAAATAAAAAAGGTAAATTTAAAAAATCAAAAAACCCGACTGCTTAATTATACTTCAAATAAAAACTGAAAAGAAAAAAACAAGTCCAGTAGTCTATAATTCTGTTAATAAGGAACAAAGCTACTTTAACAGTCGGGACCCACTGTTGAAAAATATTATGTATTCTTGAATATCTAATGGGTCCCGACTGTTAAAGTAGCTTTGTTCCTTATTAACAGAATTATAGACTACTGGACTTGTTTTTTTCTTTTCAGTTTTTATTTGAAGTATAATTAAGCAGTCGGGTTTTTTGATTTTTTAAATTTACCTTTTTTGTTTCTAGTAGACTCTCGACTGATTTAATAACCTCCTATTCTGTATATATATATAATAGTATTGTACTCTAGATAGTTTTTATACAATTTTAACAATATAAATTGCATAACAAAACATGATAAGTAGTTGTTGTTTGGCATACTGTATTCACAAGTTTATATAAAAATAAAAATGCTCTAAATGTATGGATTTCGGTCGTTTTATTTGTCAAAGAACCATGTCATCGTCTGGTGCTACTTGGAGGAGGTATGTGTTCATAGTTAGGGGACGTTTTTTTAGGCCATCCATTCCCATATAGTATGGGGTTATTTCGTGGGTAGGTAAGTAGTAAATGCCTGGTTTCGCGAAGTCTGCTTTCGGTCCAAGAAGGTTGGTTGTGATGTTTTTGTTTCGGTAACAGTCCCCGCGACGTGCGTCCGCTACGGACTCGCATCGTATACTGATGAACTGGGCCGGGTTGCTGTGGGCGTTGATCCAGTACAAAGCTGAACGCACGTGGCTGCACAGAGCGAGACACGGCAATAAGAAGCCTTTCTTCATAGACTGCTGGTATTCACCTGCGAAATTTTTATATGTATGGGACCACAAATCCAGGTAAGAGTAGAGAATGCATCGTTCAGGACCCCAAGCATGAATTTGGACTGCTCCGTATTCGAATCGCCAACGTCATAGTGTCTATGGAAATTAAACAGCGTCTCTAACGGACCCAAGAACAAACTGGCTTTTTCCTTATAAACTTTGATATTGCGATACGAATTCTTTCACGATAGATGTTCGTGCTTGGAGTACAGATATCACACTAATATTAGTTTAAGGCGAAAGTTTGTGAGTGTGTATGTTTGTTACTTCTTCACGTCTAAACGGCTAGAGCGATTTTCATAAAATTTGGTATTGAGTTAGCTGACACCCTGGATTAACACATAGGCTAAGTTTTACTACCGGAAAATATCACTACTAAGCCGCGGGTAACACCGCGGGGTACAGCTAGTGTATCATAAATAAATAAATCCATTATGTATATAAAAAAAACTCTGATGATAACTATCGACTCCTTGTCGAGCCTACGAAACCTGAAAGCATCCTCTAAATTCCTTTCTATACAATAATATCCCCGATCTCACAGCCCTGGTACCGCAACATTTCACAATACATTTTAAGGTCATTGTCACTTATTTTCCTTTAAAAGTCCAAATTTGTCTCTGCTCAAAGCACCACGTTGAGCTATAACTATTATAACATCAAGTCGCTTTGTCACCTATGCGGATCGCGCGCCGCTATAGCATATCCAAAGCGTCGAGTAAGTATGAATTTAAACTATAATTTAAGCATGAGCATGAATTTAAAATTTTGTTATACCTCCGTTAGCATAGAAGTCCACATGTCCCAGAGGATCGGCTATGCCGAATCCATCAATGTTCGTGTGTAGTACGTCCACCTTGTGCGCAGCGTTACGATTCAGCCGCTCCGAATAAGGTAGGTTGCGGAAACAGGGCCCGGCCGGGTCCAAACCTGTTAACATGTCCATATACACTGTAATTAGATAACTTTATACTGAGGTAAAGTAATCAGTACCCTTAGCACGAACCAAAATCGAATTCGTAACGTTTGCGAGTCCGAAATGTGATTGTCAAATCTGTACTGATTTGTAGTTCTCGTTACGTGCTTTGTGCCAATGCTGTTCCATTTCATTTCATTTCAGTTTCCATACAAAATTTGACATTGACATTTCGGTTTGCAAACTATTCGAATTCGATAATGGTTCGTGCTAGGGGTACAGTACCCCTAGCACGAATCAATATCGAATTCGTATCGTTTGCGAGTCCGAAATGTCATTTTCAAATGTGTACTGATTTTTAGTTCTCGTTACGTACTTTGTGCCGCTGCTGTTCAAGTTTCCATACAAAATTTGACATTGACATTTCGGTTTGCAAACTATTCGAATTCGAAAATGGTTCGTGCTAGGGGTACAGTACCCTTAGCACGAACCAATATCGAATTCTTATCGTTTGCCAGCACGAAATGTTATTGTTAAATTTTGTATGAAATCTAGAACAACATCGTCACAAAGTACGTAACGAAAACTAATAATCAGTACCTACACATTTTACAATGACATTTCGGACTCGCAAACGTTACGAATTCGATTTTGGTTCGTGCTAAGGGTACAGTAACTGGAAGCGCGGCGTAATTATAGGTACTTTGGGACTAAGTGCACTATACAAAGCTACAGCCAAACTTGGACAAACAGTAATCAGATTAATGATTAAGGATTACGATTATAATGTGTAATCTTCAATCACAATTACAGATTACAGAAATTAATCAAAAATGTAATGATGAGATTTTCAATCTGTAATCGTAATCTTGATTACTTTTATGATTAATTTTGATGTTTGTTGTCGCCCGTCTCCGGTGCTTGGTAGATCCCTCCTTCTCGACGCTGGATACACGTCGACTCTCGTCCCCTGGCCAGAGTCTACGTGTGCCTCTAAACATCCCACACTGGCGATGTTGAGACAACTCGACTATTTGAGCACCTTAGTCGAGCAGCAGATGACGCGCAGCAACAATTTCCCAATGCAGAATTGGTGTTTTTGAGGGACTTTAATGATCACCACAATTTGTGGTTAAGTTCCTCCAAAACCGACTATGCCAACTGACCAAAGGGATCTCTGCTCACACATTCGCTCTCATGCATGACTTGAAGCAACTGGTTGATCAGCCCACCAGGATCCTAGATATTCCAAGTCAAGCGCCTTCTTTACTGGACCTTCTGTTCACGACCCATCCACAGGGCTATCAGGTTGTGGTAAGAGCCCCCCTGTGCTCGTCACATCACCGCCTGATATCTGCCAAAGCACCACAGGTAAAGCCGCTGCGCCCGGCAGTGGTCAAGCGCCGTATCTGGCACTATGGGTCGGCAGATTGGGACGGTATGCGTAACTACTTTGCGTCCGTCCCTTGGAAACAGCGCTGCTTCAGTGACAGGGACCTATCGGCCAGTGGCGTTGCCATTACTGAGGAGATTATAATGGGTATGAAATACTGTATTCCTCATTTTGATCTCATCAGTAAGGGCACACGTAACCTCTGGTTCAATCACGACTGTGCTGAAGCTGTTTCACGTAAGCAATCAGAGATCTGAGGCCGCGCTTTTAAGGATCCCGAGGTCGATTCACTCAAAGCAGCCTACAATTTTGCTTCCAAGGCCTGTAAGAAGGCTTACATCAGAGCGGATGCCCCGCGAGTTGCATGTGTTGACCAGGAACTTATTACGCATCCTACGGGCTCCCGTAGCTACTGGCGTTTGGCCAAGGCCGTACAAAAGAACTTCTGCCAGCCCTCGCTGCCACCTCTGAGAAGCCCAGATGGAACACTAGCTCATAAGCCACAGGAGAAAGCCGATTCACTAGCAAACCTCTTTGCGGCTAACTCCCGAATCGATGATTGAAATGCGCTGCCATCATCATTACCTCATTGCGGCATAACGGCATAGCCGTACAAACAAATTGTGATAATTAATGGCAACTCAATAGTATATAAGTTATATTCATTAATTCCTAAATCATAATTCATATAAAGTTAGTTATGAATAATCATGTAATTTTGTAATTTAGAAAACTGACTGCTGTAATCAAGATTAAAGATTACATATGTAATCTTGATTAAAAGTAATCACGACTACTTTAATCTGATTAAAAGTAGTCATGATTATTTTCAATCAGATTAATAATCTGATTACAAAAGTAGTTGATTACGCCCAACTCTGGCTACAGCCCTGTTAAACCCGTGAAACGATTTAGATGAAATTTAGTACCTATAGAGATAGAGTCCCAGAAAAGCACCTAGGATAGTTTTTATGCCAGAAACCCTCCTTAAGTCCAGTTTTACTACACACATACGAAGTCGCGGGTACCCAATAGTTTTATTATAAATTTAAAATAATAAGTACATAATGGTGTCGATTCTGGCATGATTCTCTAAACCTAAATTTAAATTTGACAACAGTGTATCGTTGTCATGAGCTATACAGAATGAAAAGGAGAGACTATGTTTAATTTAGTTTTAAGTTTAGAGAATCACGCCAGAATTGGCACCAATACCTACCTAAATTTGGCAGAAAAAACCTTTAGTCTGGCTAGGTCAATGTTAATCTTTGCAATAAAACTAACTCGTCTGCCATGGAGGCAAGCGTTCGCATGAAAATGTAAAATGTTAACGATTTTTTTATTAAAATATGTATAACTAGCAGCAGCCCGCGACTTCGGTCCGTTTACTTAATTTTTTTCGAGAATCCCTCAGAAACCTTGCATTTTCCGGGATAAAAAGTATTCTAAGTCTCATTTTAGGTCATTAAATATATAAGTATGCGTACTAAATTTCATCCAAATCCGTTCAGTAGTTTTTGCGTGATTAAGTAACAAACATACAAACTTTTATATTTATAATAATAGTAGGATAGGATATTTACCAGTCAACCTTGCAGGCTTCGTCCCCGTCAATTGTCCGAAACGGAGAGACGCGTATGAAGCTATGTGAGCTCCCAGACTGGCTCCGATTATTTCCAGGCGATTGGCGGTCAGCCCGTGATGTGTGAGCTTTACCAAAAACTCTCCTAGGTATTCTCCAAACGGTCTTGTAATTCGTGCAGCCCTGTGGATAAAAAATAAATATTTCTAACACTGACCAATTAGCCTAGCTCCCAAGTAAGCACTGCAGGATTGTGATATAGGATATTAGGGTAACGGATACAATACATATCCTTATAAGTATATTAATATAGAAATATATATTAAACATCCATGAATGGAGTACAAATGATCATATTCATCACAAAAAAATCTGTCTCAACTGGGATTTGAACCCATTCGGACCCTGTCGGGACCTCTCGAGTAGGCGACACCTTGAAATCCGTAGAAACCACTCGCCAACAGAGGTCGTCGTATAAAATCATTTGTGCAAATCGTTAGTAGCCCGGGGCGTCAGATTTTAATTTTTTTAAATAGTGGGACGTGCTCATGCTCAACCCTGAATGATCTTCTGTCCACCCCAATCCAAAATGCATTCTTCAAATTTTAATTTTAATGAGAAACCTGAGGTTTCGTTTAAAATTCTAAGAGAATTCATTTTTTGTGACAAGTGAAAATTGAAGTCAATTTTGTAGGGATATACACTTATGAAGTCAAGAGTCAAGACAACACGCAAAACTGTTGATGTTGCAAGCGTCAATAGACTATAGTAGCCACTAACCATTGAGTTTATAAGGTATGTTGTGTGAAGCAGCTCTGCTCAATAAAACGTTATTTTTGCAACTGTTGTATAATAAGGAGTATTAAAACACGAATGTGAATTCGAAATTATAGTATCACATGAGTGTTTTAATACCTATTTATGAACAATTGCATACAAGACTTTATCTACATCCATGCTATGAATTCTCTATAAAAGATTCTGAAAGCATGGGGCGTTCTAAGAACTTAAAATTCATGAAAAGTTTCGGTACCTACTCTGATAGTAAAACGCGCGTGAATGACAATGTTGTTTTTTTGAAATCTATAATACCACGCTAGATGCAGTGAAAAATTGTGGCTGTTTGGTGAGTAAGCCCTTGGCGCGGAAGGGATTTAAAAAGCGAAGGAGTGTTATTATGAAGTTTAGTACAACATTATAACACACAAACGGGTGTTATAATGTTTTTTTTAACTATGACATTGGATGTTTTAGTGTTGCCAAAAAGCTGCTTCAGATAAAATAAATTATAAAGTTTTTCTTGCGACCATAATAAGTACCTATATCATATCAACAGTGATATGTTGCTAGCCCATCATGAAAGTACCCTTGTCCCATCATAAGCTTTAATTTCACGGGATAGTTGGTGTTCGCGTGCGTATTAAATATATCTCACTCCCATTCCAATAAATATTAAATGGGAGAGAGAAAAAAATACTACCATTCCAGTGTAATATTAAAACCGTCATTTTCATATTACTCGGTACATATCTTACAAGGGATAAGGGCGTAGTAGAAGAGGGAATATCTCCACAATGATGACGTTGCGCCCGCGCCGCAGGTACGCGTCCGCGACCGCGCGCACCAGAGGGGAAAAGGACGAGTCTAAGTAGCCACTTATCACCACCTGGAAAAAAATACGAACAAAACTAATATTTCTAGTATTTTTAGCTACGTACTGCCGTGGAAAAGGAACTACAACGCAAGACAATGGATCTGTCCGTGTTCGGTCCCTTTGGTTTACTAAATGCTTTTATGAAACTTCAGCGGCCGTCTGGGGAAATAACCTATCAACTGTAACTGTTCATTAAACCTTAGTAAAATCCGAAATTATGTTTTTTTAATGTTAAAAGGGTGGAAAAGAAGTTTGCTTCTTTTCCACCCTTTTAACATGAAATGGCCCGCCTGATGGTGGCCACTGGCTACCATAGCATAAAGACGCTTGCAATAGCAAAAATGTCACTGGCACCGTTACCTACCCTAATCCAATCCCCTACCCTGTGCAGCCCTGGAACCTTACCAGGCAGAAATGCAATGCCACCAAAAGGTAATGTTATTTTATTGTGGTTTTCTATAAAGTTGTTACTTCCGCAGACGGGCGCAACAATTTTAGCGGCAAAGGCGCTATGCCCTCTACTGAAGTAGAGGACTTTTACAGCTAAAAGTACTTAAAGTTATTAAAATAATGATGAAGTAAATAAAGGAATGTTACCATAGTGTCAGTTTACACGAGACAGGGCACAGCGCGCACTCCTTAGAACAGCGAATAAAAAAGAGAACCCTAGGTCACTTTACAAAAAGGCACACCCCATTCCAGCGTCCCGATAGGTCGCACAACGAAATGTGTATCTTTTACTGTAGCAAATAATTATTGAAGTTCTCTTTTGTACTGCTATACGAAACAGTTTGTCGCCGCATACAACTAAATAAATCCCTACTACAAAAAGTTTAACTCATCAATAAGACCTGCGTCTTCCGTTTAGTGAGTTGAATGTGTGCAGTGACGCAAGCCACGCCCTTATCGTTGAGGTTGCATCTTGCTTCAGAACTCTTAAAGAAAAGACCCTTCACGGGTTTCAGCGCAACAACGTACAGGTAGCTTTTCGTTTGCTCCGACAATTTTGTAGTTCGATTCATTCCAGGACCTGCAAACACAGACACAAAATAATAACCAAATCATTCCGTTCCTATAGCTTACACTAATTACTATTTAGACTCAAATGAAGCAGAGCTTTAAGGTACTGGATTTCTAAGTAACATGACTTAAGAACCATAATTCCTGCTCATCATAAATACATGCTCCTACCGGAACCGGAATTAGAACGAACGAAAAGACCTTTAGAACAAACAAAAGCATTTTCGATGCACTAACCAAAATAACCGTTCGTCCAACAAAATATTTTATAATTAAGTAATAGACAATTTACCTACATAGTAGTTGGAATGATAATACATTTTAAAGTATTCTGTATATATCACGTTCACTTCCAAATCTCGCATGATTTTGTGAGCTTCTAAGATTGCCGGTCATAGGATACGAAAAAAATTAGCTTGATTGTTTTTTAGAAAGGACGCTATGAAGTTGATTTTGTTTGCAACTGCAGCCGTTAGCCCCAACTGGGCCGTGTGGTATTATTAATGTCCCAGTGTGATTCTGTCTAGGGAAAGCTTCTCCCAAGCCAAGTGTTGTAATAATAATGTAATGGATAGTTAAATAAAATTTACACAATGATTTCGTATAAAATATTTCAACCTGATTTTTCTTTCCTCTTAGACAAAATTAGACGAACATTTTGTGAACAGAATGTACTGGCTGTGGTACTGGGTAAAAAAAAATCAATGGGAGGTAAGAACTTGAAAGTGCTTAATAGAACAGGGCCGATAATTTTTTGAGAGAAAAAAAAACGTACCAAAAGGAAGTGAACACATCAAAAACAAGAGGGAAAATAAATTACGGGCGATTTGAGGTCGGAAAGGGTGACGTTTTAAGGAGGGAAGGCAAATAAGGTTGTTTTAAAAAAATAGTTACTGTCCTTTATGTACTTTGGAATCTCTACTTTCTGATGACTTTTATATATGTGTTTTCTTCTTTTTGGTGTGGGTTTCACCCTGTTCCGATTTTTTTTTATTTTTGGCATGATATTAGGTCTCGAGTCGGAAGACTCGAACAGGTATTCGAGTACTAACACGAGTATTCGAATACTTTACTGATCTCGAGTATTTTTGAATCAGACCTTGCCAGAATTTGCTTAATCATCATCATCAAAAATCATATTAAATGAATGAAAATATGTAAATAACAATAGATTAAATGTATAAGCAGTAATTTTTTAATATTATGATCATCATATTAATGAGCTCTTGGTCTATATTCTTCGATTTGACCTGAATAGCACTTTTTGACAAAAAAGTTATCTGTATTTGTCTTTTACGACTTTTCGCTGGTACTTGGTCAATCAAATGATGATTGACTTGTTGATGACGATGCTAATGAGTCTAATGACTTCAAGTCCGAATCAGAACTGTCATACAAGCTTTCGTTTTCATTTTGTTTACTTTTTGATGTGTAACATCTTTCCTCTCGCTTTCCTGCAATTTGTGGGAGTGATTTCGTGAAATAGGACGGAAGTGTGTAACAGGAAGTCGTGAAAGCGCGCGCTATTTGATTTGATTTTAGAACATAATGTTCAAATGGCTTATTCCTTTTGTAGTAGGTTTTATTTCTTTTTTTACTAATATAAGGTGAGATTTCAAATGTTACACATCATACGCGACTACTGTAAGGCTCGCTATTTTTTTTCTATTATCGCTGTATAAAACAATGGATGTATTTTTTTCGAATGTTTTAATAAATTTATGGTGTTTCCAAAATTAACAAATGTTTTTTTACACTCTGCATTCCACGTTTTTATTTGTTAATATATTATAAAAATCCCATACTTCGAATTTTTTCTTCGGAGCCATCCTATCTAGTAAACTAGTTAAAAAACAGTAAAACTTTACACAAATCCTACAGTTAAACTGGTAACCGAGAGTTTGGCTAGTTAAAATAGGTAATTAAATACACACATCAAAAGTGTCTAGGGATCAAGCATTTTTATGCGGATTTCTTGAGATTGAGATGTGGCTTTGTAATAAATTTATGATTTTATAAATTTATATGGATCCTTTTTGGTGCATTTCATAATTTGAATCAGGAACTGTGAATCAAATTCGAGTAAAAGATGAAAATCAGCTGTCAATATTTTCCCTATAAAAACATACAACGCATTGAAGACATTATTAGTGCTACTGTTTCCCTACTACTGATTAAAACCAACGTTATTATGGAGCGGCGACGTCATTTAAGCAGGGAAGAAATGCTCAGAGCCGTGGGAATGATAGAAGCTGGTTCCCGGCAACGTACTGTGGCTTTAGCTCTGAATACAAGTCAGAGTGTTATCAGTCGACTTTGGACACGATACCGAAGCACTGGTACCGTGGCTGAGCGCCATGGAGGACGGTATCGCTGCACCACACGGAGACAAGACCGATACATTCAAATCTTAACTCGAAGAGCTCCAACAATAACCGCCATGATGTTAGCCGTGAGGCTTCATCACTCTTCAGGGAACTTAATTAGCGACCAAACAGTCAGAAACCGCTTGCATGAAGTGAACCTTCATTCCCGAAGACCGCTACGGGTACCACCTATAGCAATGCACAATCGTAGGATTCGATATCAATGGGCTCTTGAACACAGAAATTGGGCAGAAGAACAATGGCGTTTCGTGTGCTTTTCTGATGAGTCTCGTTTTGGTATGAGACCGGATACAAGACGTATACGACACTGGAGAACCCCTGGACGCCAACAGCGATTTAAATCCTGCCAGGAAGTCCATCCTTATAGTGGTGGAACCATCATGGTATGGGCGGGTATTTGGATCGGCGGAAGAACTGAGTTGATTTGGATCAGAGGCAACCTCAACGCTCAAATTTATGCTGAGACGATTGTATCAGACTACAAGTGCAAATCGGTCCCTTATTTCAGTTAATGCATGATAATGCACGACCGCACACCGCAAGAGTTGTAAGACAGACTCTCGCCGCAGCTAACATCAATGTCCTGCCCTGGCCTGCTCAGTCGCCAGACTTGAACCCGATTGAGCATGCATGGGATATGCTACAGAGAAGAGCTCTGCCGAATATGGAGGGTATCCAGTCGCAAGAAGACCTTTTTTTGTTGTTGCAACGAACATGGGCGGCCATTCCACAGCGTGATTTGGATGAACTCATTTTGAGTATGCCAAACCGATGTTCTTGTGTTGTTAGTGTTCGCGGTAGAAATACGGATTATTAATTGTTTAAGTTACCCAACAAAATTTTAGAGAAAACTGTTATTTCAGTCTTTTTTTCGAACTTTTGTGTTAGTGGTTCAAATGTCAAAAATCCCTTTATTAGGAAAATGGCAAATTTCTTTATTAATGCAAAGGTGACTTGGTTTATCGTTACTGTGACAAACGAAAACACTTTATTTGATGAATCCTTAAAGAAAATTTTAATTAATATCAATCAGGAGAAAAGTTATTGCAAAAATATATGTTGATCCCTAGACACTTTTGATGTGTGTATAAGAAACAGATATGTAATTAAACTTTTGTTAACATCTCATTTAACTGATCGGCCGAGTAGGAAACATAAACACGTTAACCTGCACCGACTCATCAACACTTCACCTTACTAACTTCACTGTACGAGTACAACGACTGAGTATTCGAATACCGTTAGTACTCGAAACCTGTACTCGAGTACTGTGGATCCGAATAAAATATTTCGAGTACGTGAGTACCTGCTAGGTATTCGAGTCAGTATTCGAGTCAGTCTGACTCGGCACATCTCTAGTTCGTAGTTAATATTAAAAGCGCCCTCTCTAAACTTACGTAAGTACAAATTAACAAAACTTACAGTCAGACAAGTATCCTGCTGGTGGGCCAAAGTCCTGATTGCATAAAATTTTTGTAACAGTATAATATAATACAACTACACTTTTTAATAACATTTTAAACAATTAAAACAGATTAAAAAAATATTACAAATTCAATTTCCGTTTTCTGGTTTTAGTCCATGCCGTTTATTTAAACTATAATTCAACGTTGTAGTATTATGACGGCTGAACTTAAACTCAGGAAAACTAGTCTATAATCTTATAAGAACACGTAAAGTATTAAGTTGCGTGCGCTTTGAAGGTTGGTCTAATGATACATGAACTGCACGGTCGCAATGTATGCCAATAACTTACATAATCGGTTTTCTATTTGCATGACATTGGTTTAGTTGGATAATTGAAGCGGTGAGCCTTGACTTGTTATCAATATCAGAGTCTTATTTTTTAACAATTAAATTGAATCCTGTAGCCTGTATAATATAAGCATGATATAAATGAAAAACTAAAGGACTGTCTCCTTATTTTATCTATTCAAGACTTTTTTATGTTTAAAGGGTGCCACACTACCGTATTACCCGCCTGATGGTAAGAGGCCACCATAGCCTATAGATAAAAATATCACACTCACCGCTGCCTACCTTAACCCAATCCCCTACCCCGTGAAGCCCTGGAACCTTACTCACCAATAGTGTGTCCAAACCACCTTGTGGGAGATCGTATTGTTTGCTGATGATACTTCTTTATTATTTAAGGTTAACCGACACAAGAATAACTTTGACCATGTAAATAATGCTCTCTCACAAGTATTGCACTGGTTTAATGTTAATAACTTAAAATTAAATGCAAATAAAACGAAATGCATTAAATTCACTTTACCTAATGTTAGAAGCCAAACCATTAGAATTAAATTAAACAATGAAAACCTAGATTTAGTTGAATCAACGATATTCTTAGGTACACTTCTGGACGCATCTATTGGCCCACCTTGTATTTTCAGTTTCGTTTGGTCCTAGCTAAAATTTTATATTAGGTCGAGCAAAAAGTTTTTATGCAGTTTTGAACCTTTCTTGAAACAATTTCATTCAATAGTCTTTTTTTGAATTTCGGACACAGAATTTAGAGCCTGTTTGTTGATATCAAACAATCGAATACTGAGAAAACTTGGTTTTATTGGTTTACTTGGATTTAATTCTTGAAAAAGTGATTGATATCTTTGGTTTTGCAACAAACATTACTTATTCTTAACATTCAGGTGAAGTTCTATCAATAATCTATGGATACTTCAACTGAAGTCGCCGCCCAAGCTGTGGCACTTATTCAGGCCAAAGCCACACAGCCAAAGAAACGTGAGTGCTCAACTTAATTTAAGTCGATCTGCGGTCCGAAATATTTATCGGAAGTACCTAGAGACTGGCGGCTTTGTTCGTCGCCAAGGAAGGCCACGATCTCGGGTCACAACTGAAAGGCAGGATCGATTCATCGTGACGACCAGCTTGAGAAATCGTCACCTTACCTTCATTGAGATACAAAAACAAATTCGCGACTTCCACGGAGTATCTGTGAGCGCTCGAACTGTTCGGAGAAGGTTAAAAGAACGCGATATGGTACCACACAAGCCAGCTAATGGGCCCAAACTAACGCGAGCCCACCGAACAGCGCGCCTTCATTTCGCACGCAGTCATTTAAATTGGACACAGCATGATTGGAGCCGTGTACTCTTTTCTGATGAGTCTAAAATTGTGTTACATGGCAATGATGGAAGGAAGAAGGTCTACCGACGTAAGGGAGAGCGTTTCGCACAATGCTGCTTTGAAGAGAGGGTTGCTTATGGCGGTGGCTCATGGACTGTCTGGGGCGGTATATCCGCAAGCGGCAAAACTTAACTTGAGGTTGTTACAGGACCACGGCTGCCAAAATTAAATGCTGAAAGGTACATTCGTGAGTGCTTAGTACCTCACGCGATACCTTACGTGGACTATGTGGGCCCAAATTTCCTTTTTATGCATGATAATGCAAGAGCCCATGCGGCCGGCATCGTCAGGGAATATCTTCGGGATGTGAACATCACAGTTATGGACTGGCCAGCCAGAAGCCCAGACATGAACCCCATTGAGCACATGTGGGACGAGCTAAAAAGACGTGTTAGGGCTCGTCAGCCAGTTGCCCAGACGATGCAGGAGTTGAAAACTGCCATAGAAGAGGAATGGGAAATGATCCCTCAAAATTTCATAGAGCGGTTGATAAACTCTATGCCTAATCGTATGAGAGCTGTGATAGATGCCCATGGAGGCAACACGCGTTATTAAATTAAACCTTTATTTGATAAAACATGTTTTTTTTTCAAAAATCAATTGCCTTTAACAAGGCGCATATCCGACTTGTTAGGCGTAGCTCCATGTCGTATGGTATTCTGAATTCAAATTTAAAACAATACGATCGAAAAAGATGGTAAAATGTATCAGGTTTAAAACTGCATCAACAGTTTTTGTTCAATCTAGCAATCATATTTCGGTAGGGGCCATCGAAACCTAAACTCTAAGGTGGGCCAATAGATGTGTCCAGAAGTGTATAACCATAGACTCGAAATTGCAATGATATCCTCATATTTCTCTGCTAGCTGGTAAACTTAGTTCAGCAGCCTATGCCATACGTAAAATAAGACAACTAAGTGATGTAGCTACTGCTAGAACTTTATACTTTAGTTACTTTCATAGTATTGTATCCTATGGTATTATTCTCTGGGGAACAGCAGCCGATATTGAAACTAAACTTATCTTGCAAAAAAGAGCTATAAGGGCTATTTATCAACTTAGTTCTAGAACGTCTCTTAGAGAAAAAATTATAGAAATCGGGATTTTGACTGTTACTTCACAATTCATTTATTAGTGTATACTTTTTGTTCGAAGCAATATTAACTATTATCTCAAACACAGTGACATACATTGTTTTAATACAAGGAATAAAAATAAACTCAAGATACCAAATTAAAGGTTACAGAAGTCCATAAATCATTTATGGGTCAAAGGTATACATTTCTATAATAAGATTCCTAATGATATCCTTGATTTGCCTCCTCATAAATTTAAAATACACATTAAGAATTACTTACTTAAGAAAGGATATTATACTGTCAATCAATATTTGAATGATTAAACGGCCTGGTTGTAATTTTACCTGTAGATAATTTTTCAAAAGTTATATTAAAACTAAGGCTGCCAGGCTTAGAAAGAGTTTAGAAGAGAGCCTTACACTTACTCCCTTTCATATACTTGTTCATTTTGTTTTGAAAATTGTTTCTTGCTATTTTGGGACTTTTCTTTGCACTCAGTTTTAGTAAATTCGTTGATTGTCTATTGTTACATATTTGACATTATGTGATGGAAGTTGACCTCAACACATGTTTGCAAGTTTGATGTCAACTTTCAATTATACGAAACTGTATGAAATAAAACAGGGAGAAAAAAGCAGCCCTTGCTGAGTTTCTTGCCGGTTCTTCTCAGTACAAGGTCTCCCGCCGTAGATTTGCGAACCGATGGCGTAGCTTTTCGACATTCACAAGTGCTTGTAACAGCCTAGACTGAATGAGCGATATTGAATTTTGATGTTTTTTATTTTGGATAGAAACGCAACACCACCAAAAGGTAGTATTTTTTTACCGAGATCCTCTGTAAGGTGAAGGTTACTTCCCCAGACGGGCGCTCTAATTCGAGCGGCAAATTCGCTATACCCTGCCTCTCTTACATCATGGTGACAACTGTCTTAGTATCGGCACATTGTGCTTGTAATTTTATACCTAGGTGGGTACAAATACAAATATAAACTGTCTACTGTCAATTCGTGGGAAAAGTCTAGTAGTTAGTAATGTAATGTAGTAAAAGAGTTTTGTTGTTTTTGATACAAATTTAATAACAAATCTTCAATACAAATTCAATCAGAACCTAAGCACATATACTTTATACTATAAGCACATCCTCATTCCACCGCTAACTAATATTTTCAAAAAGTGTTTAAATAAAGGAACTTTCCCTAAATGTTTTAAAAAAGGTTGTTCCTATATTTAAATCTGGCAGTAGAAACAGGTAACAAACTATAGACCCGCTTCTTCCTGCAATGTCAACAATTTTAGAATAAATTATTAACATTAGACTCGTGAAATATTTGAAAAATTAATCTATATTATCCAAAAATCAATTTGGTTTTAGGTCTAAGTTATCTACTGCGAATGCTGTTCATCAACGTACAGACTTTTTAGTACAGGAGTTCGATAAGGGTAATAAGACAATATGATAAATAAAGACCTAGCGAAAGCATTTGATGCAGTTTCCGTACCTATCTTGCTGCAAAAGCTAGAATCTTTGGATATAAGAAAGAAGCTTAAATTATTTGAGAATTTATCTATTCGAACGCTCTCAGTGTGTAAAAATAGGTAATGTTGTTAGTTCGGATCTAGACATCACCTGTTATGGGGTTCTTCAGGGAAGTATTTTAAGCCCTACTCTTCTTTTTTTGGTCTACTTAAATGCCTATGTAATTAGAAACTGGAAAGTGGCAGAACAATATCTTATGCACACGGTGTCTATTTTCTGCAAGTTCTGTGGTAGACGTTCACAAATGTACACAATGCTGACTTAACTCCGACAAAACTAAATACATATAATACATTTAGTGGGCAATCATGCTCCAATAAGCAGAAATTATGTTCATTTTTATAGAGACCCTACCAATTGCCAGAGTCAGTGTCCAGTTATCGATAGTATAAACAAAATTAAATATCTTTATTTCCTCTCAGGCGGAAAATAAAGGTGATTGGGGGAAATCCTACCTTTTGGTGGCTACTCACCATCATGCCGCTTGGTCGAACCGAAATCCATCCGTAAGTGGCATTTAATAAATAATAAATTCAGAAAATGTAGTTGAAGCTTACTTATTCCAATCCGCGCAATCCATATGTAAAATAACTGTTTCCAAAGAGTTGATGCGTGTTGAAGTCACTTTTGCCGTAGGTGAATTAAAATAGTGCTACATTTAAAAAAGTCTAAAAATATCTTTAGACCTCACCAGAGTAAATGCGACATGGGCCAGAAACGTCATATAGATATGGATGATAATTTTATACATACCTAGGTTACTAATATTAATCTATTACGCCCCTCTACCATTGATGTTCTTCATCAACCCCGCAAAGGATATACAAAGTTAACTTATGATAATATAAATGTGTGTTTGTATCATTAGAACAATAAAAATGTGTTAACATGAAGAATCTGAAAATTTCTGATAAATTTATTCATCCATTCTTTTACAGCACCAACTTTATTGATAAGAGATTCTTCTAAACCTTCAAGAATCTTTTCAAGATAAGATTTGTATATGTTCAGGTACATTCGAGTTTATGTCTGGTGCGCGAGTTCCCTCAGGGTAAGTGGTTTACTAGTGTTCTTTCCGCGGGAAAATCTCAGTTTAGCCGGCCCGAACGCTTTCGTT